GTAGCTATGGCTGGCCTGGAACTTCCTATGTAGACCAGAATGGGCTTAAACTCAGAGAGCCACCTGCCTCCAAAGTGCTGGGATTAAAGAAAACTGTCACCATGCCCAGAGAGTAAGTTTTCTTTTCTCTCTCTCTCTCTTTTTTTTTTTTTTTTCTGAGACAGGGTCTCCCTGTAGCCCCAGCTGGCCTGGATTCACTATGGAGACCAGGCTGGCCTGGGACTCACAGAGATCTGCCTGCCTCTACCTCCCAAGTGCTGGGATTAAAGGCATGCACCACCACAACAGGCTTGAGAATGAGTTTTCTTTAAGGGTATGGTTCCTGGTGGGTGGTAGATCATGCTCTAGTCAATGGCCTCATGCCCAGAGGGCAGCACAAATTGAATATATAATTTAATTTTTAAAAAAGGGCATGAAGTTGAGGGAATAGGGAGGTGAGGTGAATCTGAGAGGAGTTAATGGGAGGAATTAAGGGTGAATGTGATCAAAATATATTGTATAAAATTCTCAAAGAATTCACATAGTGGCTAACAGTGTTCATAACTCCAGTTCCAGGGAATCCAATGACCTCTTCTGACCTCCATGGGCATTGCATGACATCGGTGCACTTAGATGCAGGCAATACATTTATGCACATAAAATAAAAATAATAAATAAAAAATTAAATTCTCAAAGAATTAATAAAAAAATATTTATTTAAAATGAAAAAGAAGCCGGGCACTGTGGTACGCTCCTTTAATTCCAGCACTTGGGAGTCAGAGGCAAGCAGATCTCTGTGAGGTCCAGGTCAGCCTGGTCTCCACAGTGAGTCCAGGTCAGCTGGTGCTACAGGGAAATCCTGTCTCAAAAAGACCAAAATCAATAAAGAAATAAAAGAAAAAAGGAAGAAGAAAGCATGTATTAGATAAGCTGTGTTTGGGCCTGAGTTCTAGTACTGTTTAGCCATGAGTTCAATGTTACTGAGTCAACACTGAGCATTGGAAAAGGGATCTATCAACAGAAACATGTATAAAACAAGTGTACAATATTCCCCTGTTGGTTTTGCTTTTTGAAGTTTCAGTTACCCCTTATCAGTCAAAGTCCAAAAATATTAAATGGAAATTTCCAGAAATAAACAATTCATCAGTTTTAAACTGAGCACCATTCTGAATCACATGAGGACATGGGTGTGCTGATTGAACCCACCCACTCTGCTTGTCACTCATCCCAGTATAGCAGCCATCAGTCATCAGATAAGCTCTCGTGGTACCATAGAGTTTATATGAGGTGATAGTCATCACAGCATCTATGTCACTGCCTCATCTTTTTACTTCATCAAAGCAGAGTGAGCACAGTACACTAAGTTGTTTTATTTTGTTTTCTGAGACAAGATCTCACACTGTAGCTTTGGCTGGCTTGAAACTTGTTCTGTTAAACCAGGCTGACCTTTAACTTACAGAGATCTGCCTGCCTCTGCTTCTGCCTCTGCCTCTGCCTTTCTAGCACTGGGACTAAAGGCATGTACCACCATGTTCAGTTTCATTAAGGTGTTTTGAGAGAGAGAGAGAGAGAGAGAGAGAGAGAGAAGCTATACTCATATAACTTTCATTATATTGTTATGATTATTCTATTATTAGTGCTCTTACTGTCCCTAAAAATAAACTTTATTATAGTTATGTATACAAAGGAAAAGACATAGTATTCGTACGGTTCTGTACTATCCAAAGTTTTAAGCATCCACGAGGGAGTCTAAGAATGTATCTTTTGTGGATAAGGGGAGATTATTGCATATATTAATGGGGTTGATGAAAAATGTGACCAGAGGCTCACAGGAGCCTACCTGTATTTCCTCTAAGATCAGTGATTTATTATTCATTAATTCAGTGTTTGAACCTGGTACAAGGCTCATAGAACCAAAGAGAGGAATGAGAATTGACAGCCTACATACACAAAGTGCCCTCTCTGAGAGCTGGTTCTCAATTTTTGCCAGCATACCAGTGACGTAGGCCCACTTGGTAGGAACCACCGTATGTGGGAACTGTCTGCTCACCATGCTGCTTACAACTGCGCAGTGTCCTCTCTCAGAGCAAATTCTGGGTGACGCAGCTTCCAGGCTTCAGTCAGAAAACATTAGTCTGGTTGGGTGTGGTGGTGCATGCCTTTAATCCCAGCATTTATTTGGGAGGCTTAGGCTGGCAGATCTGTGAGTTCGAGGCCAGCCTGGTCTACATAGCGAGTTCCAGGCCAGGTGGGGCTACAGGGAGACCCTGTCTCAAAAAGAGAGAGAGAGAAAAAAGAAAACATTAGTTTTCTGTCACCAAGACCCAAATTTGAGTCCACCTCCCTACCTTACTAGGCTAAGGACCTTATACCTCACTGCCTTCAATAGGCAAGTAACAGCCATTTCACAGAAATGGTGCAAATCCCAGTGAGACAGATAATGAAGGTGAAATGCTCAGCACAGCGCCCGGTGCAGAGTAGACACTGAATGCATGCTAATCCTCCTACACTCCTCACCAGCCCAGGGCATCCTCCGCTCTGTCTGCAGTCAATCCTGATTACATCAAGGTTCAGTTGCAGTAGAACTGGGCCCAGCCATCCCAAATCAGCTTTCAGCATGAACACTCATTGTCTGAGAGTGGTTCTGCAGAGCCCAAACTTGAAATCCTAGAAGCTCTGTCACCTGGGAGGAGTCTTTTCTTTCCTGGACTCTGCAAAGGTCCACTAGTCTATTTCTGTTGCTTTCCTGTGATGACAGGAAAGCATAGCTCAAGTTCTAGTTAGCTCTTCTGTGCCTGTGGCTTTTGTATTTGTATGGGTGGAGGATACAAGGTGGATGCGTTTGCTTAGTGCACTTTTCCCCTCATTCTTGAAGCCCTGCTCTGGGCTTTAAAAGCCCAGGCTGCCCCAATTCAGACCGTGACTCCTTTGACTCAGCTCTAGCCTAGAAACAGGGTTCCATCTCTGAGTCATCAGGCTGAGCTGCTTTCGAGGACAGCAGTCTGGCACTGCTGCTGCATCTTCCTGGGAAAGGTGCTCTACAAACCCCAGTGTCAGCCCCATGTCTAATTAGGCTCACAGTGCCCAGAAATCAAGAAACATGTTCTTTGAGAGATACAAGAATACAGAAGGAGAACATTCCAAGACCCAGAATGCCTGGGGTTCAGTTACAGCTCTACCAGCTTGAGTGACCTTGGGCTAGTCATGGAGCCCACCTGAACCAGACTTGGGTTGCCTAAATAGGAAATGATGACTCACATCCAGCCTATCACACAAGGATGTTGAAAGGCCAAAGTAAAACCTTGTGAAGTGCCCCAAATTTGAGTGCCCAAATCCCTGGTTATGGGGATAGGGCTTAGCATTTTTCACAAAAGATATCTTTATATGAATGTTTTACCTGCATGGATGTATGTGCCCTAAGTACCTATGGAGGCCAGAAGAGGGTGTAGGATTCCCCAGAACTAAAGACGGATGGTTTTGAGCCACCATATGGGTGCTGGGAATGGGTTGAACCCAGGTCCTCTGCAAGAGCAGCAAGTGCTCTTAACTGCTGAGCCATCTCTTCAGCCCCTGGCTTAGCATTTTTAAAATGAATTGTAGGCAAACTGGGAGGCCTCACTTAAATAACTGGGTTTATGACGTCTCTGGAAAAATGAGAAGCTCTGGATGTATTAACTCCTTTCCCTGGGTGACAAAAACCAACCAGGCCTTACCAGTAAAAGTCTGAAGCTGCTCGCCAGCTACCAGTCCCCACCACTCTTGGGTCCCAGCACTGAGGCCAAGCCTCCATTCCCTTTGATTGTTGCTCTGGGGCTATTGCTCTGCTCCCAGGTACCTTCATAGAAATGAACTCATCCTAGTAACAATATTTCTGTCGAAACAGAAAATAAATGTCACAGAAATATCCCTAGATTCAAACTATCTCACTTTTTGGGTCACACCGTCAAAAACAGAACTCCTTTGGCTACGTTTTACCCCAAGGTGGGTGCTACAGGTATGAGCAAAGAGGGCCATAGCTGGGGTCTGGAGACCTGCAGGCTGCAGGGTCCTTCCTCCCAGTTCTGGTTAGTCGGGGCTGGGTAAGGAGTTGGAGAAACCACTCGCTTTCCTAAGGGGGATACAGTGGCCCTCAGCAATCTTCCCATTCAAGGTTGGTGATTGAAATGCAAATATTTGAAACTGAAAGCTCCCTGGGTGTCAAAAGTAAAATAAATCTCTAAAAATTTATTTTATTTTTAATTAAGTGTATATATTGGTGGGGGTGGGGGTGGGGGATGGGAGAATGAAGCGGAAACGGACGTTTCAGAGTGGGGCTTCAGCCATGACTAGAGAAGAAATTAAAAAGGAAACTGCTGCCTGGCGTGGTGGAGCCTTTAATCCCAGCACATAGGTGGCAGAGGCAGGAGAATCTCTGTGAGTTCAAGGCCAGCTTGGTCTGGTCTACATAGCGAGTTCAAGGTCAGCCGAGGTTACAGGGAGACCCAGTCTCAAAAAGACCAAAAAAAAAAAAAAATGGAAAGGAAACTGCTTGGCTAAGCTATATCACTTCCTGCACCACCTCACTTTCCCACACTGGGGCGAAGTGAGGACCTCCGTACTCATAGAATTTCAGTTTGCCAGGCCTAGGTTCGGGTCCCAAGTTGGGCAAGTTATGACCTTGCGTTACTGACGCTGTTTCTCCATCTATTGTGAAGACAGAGATGTCTAGACGGACAGAGCGAAATGCACGTGGAAGTGCTGGGGAAATCCAAAAAGTGCTATTACACAGGTTAAGAGTTTCCTGGATGCTTTTCAAAAACTTTCTCCTCAACTCTGTCCAAGGCTAATACCCTCCCCTCGGTGTCGCAATTCTGCCCCTTCCTACACACCAAAGCCCGGCAGCGCCAGGAAGGCGGGGACTCAGGGGCGACCGCCGGGATCCAGCTCCCGCGCTCGGCGGCGCGGTGGGTGTGCCCAAAGGGTGTGCGCCCGGCTCCAAGCCGAGCCAGCTGGCCAGAGGGCACCCGGAGGGTGTGCGCGCCCCGCACGGTCAGGGTGCGGTAGCGCGCGGTGTGTGGCCCGGACGCGGACCGTGCAGTGGAGGACCGTGCAACCGAGGACTGTGCAGCGGTGGACAGTGCAGTGGCGGCTGCGTGCTCCCAGAAGCCTAGTGGGCGCCCGCGCAGACCCCGCTCCGCCACCGTCTCCCGCCGGATCCCGGCGACTCGCCAAGGTAAGGGGCATGGCGCTGGGAAGGACCGCCTGCCTGCTCGACCCCGGGCTGCGCCCGCCGCCCTCCGCACCCTCTGCCAGCACCGCGTCCCCGCAGAGGCTGCGGCAGCCTGGGCCAGACGTCCCTGCTGCGAGCCTGGGGTCCGCGACAGCGCGGGAGGGTGGCCACGCGTGCTTTCCACTCCTGGGGCCCCAGGAGACGGAGAGAAGGGGGACCGCATCGTCCTTGAGGCTCAGGTGGTACAGACCCCGCAGCTGTCCTCAGCGGGACGATACGGACCGGGATGCAGCTTGCAGGACTGGGGGTGCCTCCCTGCTAGCTCCCGGGACTACCTGAAAATCGCTGAATCTCTCTCCTGCAGAACACCGCGCCAGACTCCCAGCCCCGCGCCTCTCTGCCTCTGGCTTAAGTTTCCGGAGCTTGGTTGGGCTATGACCTTGGGCTGAAGCAGGAGTCCCCCGACCTCCGCCCCGGGGCCCAGGGTGCTAGGCGCCAGCTGAGGTATTTTGCCATGCCCTCGCGCCCCTTGGCTAACTACCCTGCCACCTTCCCTACCCCTTCTCCCTTAAGGTCAAATCTTTGACCCCAGTACTTTGTTGCTGCAGCCCGACCCATTACGACTGGAGTTGGAAAGTCCGAGCCCATGTGTTCCACACCTGGCCAGAGCCGTCTCTAGCCCTGAGGGCTTGCCAAGGCTGCAAAAAAAGTCAGTCTTACTTCCCAAGCACTCTGGGATGCAGGCTTGGAGGGTGAGGATGGGCATTTCCCAGGGGAGGGAAGGGATTCTCTATCTCAAGGATGACCTCTAAGGCCTGTGCAAAGTCCTATGCACCAAACAAGGGGGCAAGCCGGAAAGGGTAAATCGCTTGCTGCCAGAGATGGGGTTGAGGTCAGGAGAGAAGACATCTTTAAAGCACAACCCCCAAGGACATACCTGAGTAAAGCTAATAGGGTTCTGTAGCCTCTAAAGACAGCACAAGAAAGAGTATGTTACCCATGGAAGGGAAAGCAGAGTCCACCCTAGTATTTGCCTTTCAAATCCAGCCTCCCCCTCAGTGGGCCATAATGTGTCACAGGACACTGAGTTGTGGGAATGGCCAGTCTTGTCAGATACCAAGGTAAAAAGAATTGCATTCTGGCCTCAAGGAGCTTGCAGTCCAGTGACCAAGATGGAGGGAAATCATGTCAATAAAGTGTAGAATTCTGCATAGCACTGAGTTCTTTGCTTGGAAACCATTGGGTACCCTGAGAAGTAGTGATAGGTTCAGTGTCAGTCTGAAGACTGAAAGGAGCTAACTAGTTAAAGAGGGTGGAGAGGCTTTCTAGAAGAAGTAGTGGCCTGTGCGGGGGGATGCAGAGATCTGCAGAGTTTGGTGAAAGAACTGAAAGCCTTTGAGAAATGAGAACCAGGGTCCTGAATGGGCATGGCTCTTAGCTCTGCATCTCAATGGCTGCGCTAATCATTGTCTTCCTTTCTAAGACATAATGCTGAGCTATTTTTATTTGTTTGTTTATTTTTATTTTATGTATATGAGTGTATTGCCTGCATGTGTTGGTACGCCCATGTCGTGCAGTATCCAAGGAAGACAGAAGAGGGTGCCCCTTGAAACTGGAGTTATGGATGGTTAGCTGCCATGTGGATGCAGATATTTGAACCCAGGTCTTCTGTAAGAGCAGCCAGTGCTCTTAACTGCTGAGCCATCTTTCCCAGCCCCAATACTGGGCTATTTTTTAAAGAACTATTTTATTTATTTTTATAAGTATATATGTGTTTTGTCTGCATGTATGTGCACTGTATGTGTGCAGTTCCCATGGAGGCCAGGAGAGGGCGTTGGATCCCCTGGAACTGGAGTTACAGGTGCTTGTTAGCCATCAAGTGGGTGCTGGGAATTAAATCTGAGTCCTCTGCAAGAATAGCTAGTGCTCTTAACTACTGAGCCATTTCTCCAGCCCCAATATTGGGCTACCGGAATTCCCCTGACTAGGTCAAGTATAGAAGGAAAAGGAGAGTCTGATGGCAGCTTCCTGTGCCCACCTTGGTTAGAATACTTGGGGCCAAAAACAGTGGTTCTTTCCTGTGCTGTTTCCTGTTGCCACGTTCAACTTGCAGCTAGCCAAATCCTCAACTCCGCATTCAAGAATATTCATGCTGGAAGTGGTGGCTCATTCAGCAACTAGACCATGTGCATTTTCTTAGGGTGGCACACATGGCATTGCCTGACCTGGCCCCTGCCTACTTTTCTATAGGCTTATTTCTACCTTCTACCATTCCCTGGGCCTCCTACAATGGGCATCCTACTGTGTTCTACTCAGGATTATATTTGAGGCAGTTCCTAGACCACATGTTGCCTTTGCAAATGGTGTGCTGTCTAAAATACTCTCCACTTATACGCCCAATAAATACACAGGCAGCTTTCAACTTCAACATTAAGCCTAAGATTCTTCACAGAAGGCCTTTCCTGACCAGATGAGCCAAAGGCCACCTTTTCTTTGTTTCCAAAGTCCTTGGGACATGCTTCTGTCATGGCACTGAGTACCACCAAAGCAGGACTCTCCTGTCATGTTTGAGTTGTGAGTACGTGACACAGATCAGGGATACATAGAAAGGGCTCAATAAACACTTTTTGAATGGAAATCATTCTGTATTTAACACCTTAACGGAGGGTGGTGTGCATGTATCTGAGAATTTGATGAAAGGTGTGGATGCTCTTCTTCAATATAACTTAAAAATATCTTGCATGCAGTATCATGTGGTTCACCTATCTCCCAAATTTGAGGCTGTAATTTTTCAGAAAACAGAGGTCAGTGAGGTGCAGGAACTGCCAAACACTCACATCTGGTTGAGAGTAGGGACTCCGAGCTCGCAGCTCCCAGGCCCAGGCTCCGGTATGCCCAGCTTCTCTGAGCCACGAAGCCTCATTTCATTCCTGCCATCTTTCCGCTCATGGCTAAAAGACAGATATCTTGGTTTTGCTTCAGTTCAGCAGCAGCCTAAGATGTGACAGGGGCAAAGAATCTTATTAAGGGGAGAGTTGACAATTAAGAAGACAGATGGGCCATCTCCCTGGCCTGTTTGCCTCCCCTGGCCCTAACACTATTACCTCTGTTTCAGCTAGAGGAGGAGTGTGTGCTTCACTTACCTTCTGAGCCCTGGATTGGGTCCTGCTATTGGCCTTGTCAAAGGCTTCTTCCCCACAGAGCAGGCTTGGAAAGTATAGGGTGCTTGCCTGCTGTCACTGGAATCTTGTCTGCTGCCCCTGATTTCTGCAACAAAACTCCTGCTTCAGGCTTTACCATTCTGTGTGCACGCTCATTCATTGAGCAATTCAATCATCTAAACTGCGTTGCACCTCTGCTCTGTGTCAGGCACTGTGCTGTTTCCAGTTTATGAGGAAAGGCCCTGGAGCGTGTGCTAGTGCATGCTTGGCTCTGCTTTGTAGCCAGGAAGAAAGAGGTAACTTCTTCATACCTGGGAGGGTGGGGGTGGGATGGAAGAGAGAGCTTTAGGACCTCTGGATCCAAAAATATACTTACTGGTAAAACTCAGTTCTCAGGGCTGGAGCTGTCGCTCCGTGGCTCATTCCCAGCACTGCAAGGAAACGGAAAAGCAGAAACCAGAGAAACTGACCTCATGTGTGTTATATCATCTGGAAGAGGGAGGACTCAGTTTTCTTCATGGTGAATGGATTTGGTAACAGTCCTTTCTTGCCTCTCTCTGGTGGTTGTACAGACGCAGTTACTGCAGATCCACTGGAGTCTATGTGCAAAACAGGAGCACTATAGTGGAAGAATAGTGTACAGATATGTCCAACCCTGGCACACTCAGCCCTCAGGATTATCCTTGGGATGGCCTCCTCGAAATCCCCGGTGCACAGACGAGGAATGAGAAGCACAGAAAGATTGGCTGCTGTGCCCAGGGTCAGGAAATTAACACTGGGGCTGGACAGAGCTGACTAACCCTAACTCAGGCAATGATCCACTTTGTGCTCTTTTTGAAGGAGAGTACATGGGTTAGTCGTGTATTCTTGAAGGCCAGAGAGGGTGGGATGGGAGCCTAGCTCTGCTCCCAAACATCTGTGTGGCTTATGGCTGAACCCTAACATCCCTGTGCCTCAGAATGCTAATCTCTTAGACAGAGATTGGGCTAAAAGGCTTCTACTAGGCCTTCTGTGAATGGCTTCTAGTCTTTATAAATAGTGGGATCTAAGGAGCGGGGTCTTCTTCTAAAAATAGACCTGTCACAGTTTCCTGCATAAAATAAATGCAGTCCCAGGATTTCAAGTAGATGGTTAATATGATGCTCAAACAGCTATAGATCATTGGTTATGAAGAAACATGGTTCTGCTTCAAGGAAAATGGCCCACAGTATTTTCCCTGTCTTGCCTGGTTCTAGCCCACAAGTAGCTTTCTAGGTGCAAAAGCACTGTGGGGGAAAACAAAAACCCAAGTCCCAGCACCCCGTCTTCATTTTTTTTCCTAGAGTAAAAAAAAACAAAAAAACAAAAAAAACAAAAACTTGTTGGTTAAAATATATGCATATCATATAGATATATTTATGTGTGTATGTGTATGTGTACGTATATAGAGAGCTGGGCCTTTCCCCCTCTGTGTGGAAGGATCCTTTGTGTCTGCTGAGTTTCCTCTGGTATGCATTTCTGGTCTGAGGCTTTGACGTCAAGTGACAACGGGCATGGGGAAAATCTGCTCCAGAAAGATGAGAGTAGACTTTGCTGCGGCTTCCCTGCCACAGCTGCCCAGTGACAAGGCTTCCCAGTGAAAACATGGAGATTCAGGTTTTTCTTGCAGGACAGCGGCTGCGGGCTCTCCAGAGTTTCCAGGTGCTGCACTCACCTTCTGTTTCTTGCCTTAACTCCCTTCCACCTGAGCCATCCTAATGTTGGAGAAAGGTTTAAAGGACAAGTTGGGTGGCAGCTGAATACATGGTACGGCTAGGTCTACACTTACCAGATGTGATGCTGAGTGTGTGTGGATGGAGGGCA